AGAAAGAGTTCGAATTTTTTGCTTGTTTTTTTATATTTTTTTCAACAAAAATTTGTATTTTTTTGCAAAAAAAAACAAAAACTTAAAATCGAAACCCCGCGAGTGCACCTTATTTTCACACACCCCCTACTAGTTTTTTTCTTTTTTATCAAAATAAAAGGTCTTTTCTTGGATACTCAACAGTGGGCACTCAACCACCCTGAACAATATCAATCTCTATTTACAAGGATTATTTTTTTAATTGAACGATTCACGCATTCTCTGACGAAAGAAGGTGTGCACCTTAATTTCACACCCCCTACGAACGGATTCCTCATTCGTTCAGAACTGCATTTCGTGGCCAAACTTATAAACAACATATTGAAGTGCCATAGGTCTCGAAGTTGAGTGTCTCCACTTCCAGTCGTTTTTAGAGTCCCCGTCGAATAAGCGATAAACAACTCGTATTATTTTTTCACTTCCTTTTTTCAAAATTTTTTACGAAAATAGAAGCAAAACATGAAAAATGGTAAAGTAAATGGTAATAAGACGAGTGTTTTGAATTAAAACGTTTGCAGTGGTAAAAAGGCTTTGCGTATGTCCATCCAGGTTTTCAGTGTTTTTTGTTTTGAAATGCTCAAAAATTTAACTTTTTGAGGCAAAACTGATTTTGTGTTGCATTTCTTAATATAAAAAACGTGTAAATGGTATTGCAACGCTTTTATCCGCCGGGAAGATAAATCTGCCAAAACTGCATTTTGATTATTTGGAGAAGAAAAAAGGAAGAAAAACTATGAAAAACATATTGATAACAACCTTGTACGTCTTCTTTAGTTGTAGTTGCTCAAGCAAAACTCAACGGAAAAAAACATCTTGAAACAGTTTCAACATGACATCCTTTCAATTGGCCTGTATTGCTGAGTTCAATAAAAACGATCGAAAAGAAATTAAAGGCTTTGGATAGTACTTTATGTGCATTTTATAAGTAATTTAATGGTTTTATTTACTTTTTTGTGTGGGAAAGATACTATAATTATAGTTATTTATAATTAGAAATATAATTGTTTTTGTTTCTATTGTGTGGATAACTTGGAAATTTGGATTATAACAATTCGATGACCCACGCCATTATTTTATAACCAAAACGTTCATTTTCATAAAGACTCATTGTTAAAACTGTTTGGCAACTTTTGAAAATACCTAAATAGTTTCAAATTTTTAGTTTAATTATAAGTTGCCAAAGTCATCATGCTCAACAACTATTATGGCTTTGGTTGTTATCTCAAAGTATTCAAAAACAACTTTTATTGATTTAATTTCTATGGATGTAATAATGTCAAAAATACTCAATAACATAAAAAATGTTAAATTTAATAGTATAACAAATAACAAATTCAAAACAAAAAAATATTTGGGAAGTTTATACAATTATTAAATTTAGATATGTATTTAGTTTATATTAATAATATATTTATTATAGTATATTTCATATCTTTATTAGTTTTGAACAAAATAGTATTTTTATACTAATATATTAAATTAGTTACTCAAAATTGTTGATTAAAGTATTTATGTGGTTATTTATAATATTTCAATTTAAAACTAATCATTATTAATTAATAATAATTATAGTAAAAATTATAATAATAATTAAATAAGTTATAATTTAATTGTTTATGATTCAATATAACAATGACTATTTTTGAAAACATATCAGAATAATAAACCATAAAAAAATATTTAATGTGTTATAAAAAAAATATTAAACAAAATTAATATTTTTTAATAAAAGAATAAATAAAAACTAAAATAAGAATATGAAATTTGTTCATAAACACAATAAATGATTAGTTTTCACTTTATTATGACTTCATTTATCAAAGTCAATTATATAGTTTTAAATTTAATAAAAATTATATATTTGACCAAACCAGAAATAACAATTTGTTAAGTAATTATATTTAACAAATTAAAATTAATTATTTATAGTTTTTTCATTAATTATAAAATAAAAACTCAATAACAGTATAATCAAATCATTGTATCTTTGTCGACAAAGTCACTCGTCTGTTTAATTATAAATAAGAGTGAAAGACGTTTACACGAAAAGGTTCGCTTTAATGGACACTGAATTATTGAAAGAGGTTGAAAAAGTTTAAAACAAACAAAAACGTTATTATAATGTCATGGAATTGCAATGAGAGGGCGTGTTTGTAATGGGGTTATAACACGAAAAATGAGAAACGACGTTTCTAGTGGTCGTTAGAATGGCTAAACGAAAAGAAACGCACACCCGAAGACAAACCTGAACGTCTTAATTTGAATTAAAATGTGAATTGAAACGATATATTATTGTTTATTTTATTATAAAATATACAATATGTTTATGAATAGTTTTTTAATTTATGACATTTCAATTTGTTGATTATTCCCGTTATTTTACGTCTAAACAAGTTAATATGACAATTTTAAAACCTAATATAAATAGACACTTTGACATTCCCTCAATAATTATGATATTTTGGTTGGGCAAAATAAAAGAGTTGGTATTTTATTTCTTTTTAAAATAATTCGAATGACAAAAAACAAAAAATATAATAACATTTTCCCAAACTGTACCATTTTTTGACTACATCGCTTTTATTCTTGCAGCGCTTTTATTCCACCTCTTTATAAAATAAAACGACAATATTTTTATTATGTTATATTAGTTTTATTGTTTGCTAATGTAAATATATTATTATACATTTTTTAAATATTTGTTCGAATATTTTAACATAACAATCAATTCACATTTTCAATTATAATATTTTTATCTCCCCTTTTAAAACTAAATTGATTGAATTTAATTGATCTCCTCATGTTTTTGACAATTTTCAAATTTTTACAATCGCAAAAAGCGAAAAATTTGATTTTGTTCAGATTTTTTCCCATTTAAATCTCCGTCAAATTTGTAGATTTAAAATACAACTTTTCAATTATATTGACTTCATCTGGTATTATCAAAATTCCTTTTGAATCGATCCAATTTGGATCAATAGAAAATAACACAACATCGCCTTCAAATTTATATTTGTTTTTAAGTAACTTGTAAATAGTAAAATCAATTTTTTCATTAAAAACAAAATCAAATGGCATATTTGGAAATTCTATGTTTTTGACATTAAAACAATTTTCAAACATAAAAGTTTTAGTGACTTTTTGGTTTAAAAAAGTGACTGACGTAAGTTCGTAACAATTTGATATTTTAAATTTTTTGACTGGCGCGATACAAAGTTCTTTAAGACTTGAATGAACAAAACACGTGTTTTTCAACACTTTAAAACAAGTTGGAAAAACAAGTTTTGTTAAATTTTTATTATTTTGAAAAGCGTTGATGTTCATCTTTGTGATTCCCTCCGGAATTTTAATTTCATTAAAATTATAATTTTCAAAATTCACGTTGCGGCAAATTATTTTAAGTTTATAAAAATTTGAAGGAACAATTCCATTGAACAATTCAACATCTTTTTGAGTGTAACAAAAATTGACAATTTTTAGATTTTTCTCGTCTAACATTTCTTTCATCCAACACACAGCTCTCACGTCAACATTTTGAGTGTTGATCGCATCGATTTTTTTC